CATAGAGGAAATGTTTCTACCCTTCCTGTTCTGCCTGACACTCATCACCTGGACAAGAAGTGTGGAGAAATCCCCCCCAAAGGGAACGATAGAATGATGACATAGATCTGAAATCTTTTTCATTTTATTAGAAACTGTGTTTTTTTTTTGCCATCGGTTGTTCCCTTTTAGGGGATTTCACGAGAGCAGTGAAATCCCAAAAGAGGCTCCTCCCCTCTTTTGCTCCATCCAAAAATTCTGGCTGAAGTTGGGCTTTAATTTTAGCTAAATGCTTAATCATTCATCCAGCTGGTTTCAGTGTGTTCCCAATTATGTGGAATGAGCAGTCCTTTCACAGTGCCCAAAGATCGACACCCCCCCCCCCAGTCTGGACATAACATGCATTTGGCAGAGCAGTAATGCGCAAGTATGCATCTTGGGAGCTACGTATAAGTGGCAGGTGGGAAGGGGAAGGGGGAGGCGGTGCTAGACTGTACTAAGCACAGCCAGAGGCAAGAGGTAAAGGTACAGTAAAGCTTACAAACTGGAGTACTCTTACCTAATTCTAACTTGAAAACCTAATCTCAACCCAGCAGCAACCCAATCCCAACAATTTGAACCTCATCCTAACCCCTAAACAAAAAACAATGCCGAACTCTCATCACCTAACCCAAACCCATAACCTCTAACCATCACCTAACCCAAACCCAAAACTCTGACCCTCAACATAATAACCTCTAACCCAACCATGACTCTCAACTAACCCAAACCTAACCCAAAACTCTGACCCTCAACATAATAACCATCACCTAACCCAAACCCATCACCCTCAACTAACCAAAACCTCACCTGACCCAAACCCAAACCCATAACTCTGACCCTCAACATAACCCTAACCATCACCTAATCCAAACCCAAAACTCTGACTCTCAACATAACCTCTAATCATCACCTAACCCAAACCCAAAACTCTGACCCTCAACATAACCTCTAACCATCACCTAACCCAAACCCAAAACTCTGACCCTCAACATAACCTCTAACCATCACCTAACCCTAACCCAAAAACCCCATAACCCCTAAAACTCTGACCCTCAACATAACCTCTAACCATCACCTAACCCAAACCCAAACCCCAAAACTCTGACCCTCAACATAACCACTAACCATCACCTAACCCAAACCCAAAACTCTGACCCTCAACATACCTCTAATCATCACCTAACCCAAACCCAAACTCTGACCCTCAACATAACCTCTAACCATCACCTAACCCAAACCCAACACTCTGACCCTCAACATAACCTCTAACCATCACCTAACCCAAACCCAAAACTCTGACCCTAAACATTTTTATTATTATTATTATTATACAGTATTTATAAAGCGCCAATAGTTCGCTCAGCGCTGTACATTACAGAGGGGGACAGAACATGTGACAGAACAATACCAATACAATGTGATACACGAGGGGATCAAGGGCCCTGCTCTTTCGAGCTTACAATCTAGGAGGGAGGGGACGGTGGCACAGGAGGAGACAGCTGTGGGGGATGGAGTGGTAGGAAGAGTGGAGGAGGTCGGCAAGTTAGCAGGGGGTGGGGTAGGCTTCCCTGAAGAGATGGGTTTTCAGGGTGCGCCTAAAGGAGAGGAGAGTAGGTGATAATCTGATGGGTTGGGGCAGGGAGTTCCAGAGGATGGGTGACACCCTGGAGAAGTCCTGGAGGCGGTCATGGGAGGAGGAGACCAGGGAACTAGAGAGAAGGAGGTCTTGTGAGGAGCGGAGTGTGCGTGTTGGGCGGTACTTGGATATTAGGTCGGTGATGTAGTTCGGGGGCAGTATGGTGGACAGCTTTGTACGTCAGTGTTAGGATTTTGAATTTGATCCGTTGCGCAATCGGAAGCCAGTGGAGGGATTGGCAGAGGGGGGTGGAGGACACTGAGTGGAGGCCAGTGGAGGGATTGGCAGAGGGGGGTGGAGGACACTGAGTGGAGGCCAGTGGAGGGATTGGCAGATGGAGGGGGGGGTGGCGGAGACAGAGCGGTTGGAAAGGTGAATGAGTCTGGCAGCCGTATTCAGGATGGACTGAAGCGGGGATAGCCAGCGGCGAGGCAGGCCAGTGAGGAGGGAGTTGCAGTAGTCGAGTCGTGATATGATGAGGGAGTGGATGAGCTGTTTAGTGGTTTCTGGGGTTAGGAACGTGCGGATTTTGGCGATGTTGCAGAGGCGGAGTCTGCATGTTGTGGAGGCGGAGTCTGCATGTTGCGGAGGTGGAGTCTGCATGTTGCGGAGGTGGAGTCTGCACAAGTTTGTTAAGTGATTGGACTTGGGGCTGGAAGGATAGGTTGGAGTCCAGAATGACACCCAGTACTCTGGCCTGCAGGGCGGGTTTGATGGTAGCGTTGTTGGATGTGACGGAGAAGTCAATGGGGGGTGGTGTCCGGGCTGGGGGGGGGGAAGACTAGGAGCTCGGTTTTGGAGAGGTTCAATTTAAGGAAGTGGAGCGACATCCAGTCTGATATGTCGCTCAGTAGGTGTGTGATTCGGGCGGAGACCAAGGGGGTGGGGTGGAGACCGAGGGGGGGGGTGAGGTGGGGGGTGGAGAGATAGATTTGTGTGTCGTCGGCATAGAGGTGGTAGTTGAAGCCGTGAGAGTGTATGAGTTGGCCAAGGGAGGAGGTGTAGATGGAGAAGAGAAGGGGCCCAAGGACAGAGCCTTGAGGGACCCCAACAGAGAGGGGGAGTGAGGGAGAGGTGGTAGCATTATAGGTAACGCTGAAGGAGCATTGTGATAGGTAGGATGAGAGCCAGGAGAGAGCAGAATCTCTGAGGCCGAGGGAGTGTAGTTTTTTGAGGAGGAGGGGGGTGGTGGACTGTGTCGAAGGCCGCAGAGAGGTCAAGGAGTAGGAGCACTGAGTAGTGGCCATTAGCTTTGGAGGTTAGCAGGTCGTTGGAGAGTTTGAGTAAGGCGGTTTCGGTGGAGTGTAGGGGACGGAAGCCGGACTGTAGGGGATCGAGGAGGTTGTTGTCGTTGAGGTGAGAGCATAGGTGGGCGTAGACTAGGCGCTCGAGGAGTTTAGATGCAAATGGGAGCAGGGAGATGGGTCTGAGGTTGTTCGGGTCATTGGGGTCCAGGGAGGGCTTTTTAAGTATGGGGGTGATGTGTGCATGTTTCAGAGGGGAGGGGAAAGTGCCTGAGGAGAGGGAGAGATTGAAAATGTGGGTGAGGGAGCGTAGGGTGGAGGAGGAGGAAGGTCGTAGGAGTTGTGAGGGGATAGGGTCGAGGGGGAAGGTGGTGAGGTGGGCATCAGAGAGGATCTTGGAGACTTCCTCGATGGTAGTAAGGTCAAAGGTGCGGAGTGTTGGGGGAGCTTCAGTATGAGGAATGTAGGGTGGGGTGGAAGAGGAGGTCAGAGCAGTGGTGGAGCCGTGGGGAGAGGGGTGATGAGGGGGTAGCTGAGTGAGGGTGAAGGGGGTTGGAGAGAGTTTGAGCAGCGACGAAGTCCCTGCGGGTTATGTCGAGGGGGAGGGGGGATAAGGGGGTAGCTGTGTGAGAGGGGACGGGTTGAGAGGGTGTGTGAGTTGCGGCAATGTCCTTGCGAATTGTGTCAATCTTGTTTTTGAAGTGATTGGCAATCTCAAGGGCAGTGAGTGAGGTGCTGGGTGGAGGTGGGGGTGGGAGAGAGTAGAGAGTTGAAGGCAGAGAAGAGTCGGCGAGGATTGGAGGAGAGGGCCTTGATGAGGGTCAAGAAGTAGGCCTGTTTGGCAGCATGGAGGGAGGAGGTGTAGTGTGGAAGGCAGATTTGTAGCGGGTGAAGGCTTGTTGGGATTTGGTTTTGTGCCATAGTCGCTCCAGGGCACGACTGTGTCGTTTGAGGGTTTTGGTGTGATCAGTCTGCCTGGACTGGAGCGGTCGGGGTCTGATGTTGCGTGTGGTTAAAAGCGCTAGTGAGTCAAGGGCTGTTGAGAGCGCATTGTTGTAGGCGGTCAAAGCCAAGTCGGGGCAGGACAGGGGGAGGATGCGGTCGTGGAGTTGATCAGCTGCAGAGTGGAGGCAGGCAGGGTTAAGGTTGCGGAGGTTACGGCTGGTAGTAGTGTGACATTTGGAGGGGTAGGCGTTGGAGGACGAGGAGATAGAGAAGGTGATCAGGTTGTGGTCAGAGAGAGGGAACATAACCTCTAACCATCACCTAACCCAAACCCAAAATTCTGACCCTCAACATAACCTCTAACCATTACCTAATCCAAACCCAAAACTCTGACCCTCAACATAACCTCAAACCATCACCTAATCCAAACCCAAACCCAAAACTCTGACCCTCAACATAACCTCTAACCATCACCTAACCCAAACCCAAAACTCTGACCCTCAACATAACCTCTAACCATCACCTAATCCAAACCCAAACCCATAACTCTGACCCTCAACATAACCTCTAACCATCACCTAATCCAAACCCAAACCCAAAACTCTGACCCTCAACATAACCTCTAATCATCACCTAACCCAAACCCAACACTCTGACCCTCAACATAACCTCTAACCATCACCTAACCCAAACCCAAACCCAAAACTCTGACCCTCAACCTAACCTCTAACCATCACCTAACCTAACCCAAACCCAAAACTCTGACCCTAAACATAACGTCTAACCATCACCTAACCCAAACCCAAAACTCTGACCCTCAACATAACCTCTAACCATCACCTAACCCAAACCCAAAACTCTGACCCTCAACATAACCTGTAACCATCATCGCCTAAAAGTGAGCAGAGTAGGCGATAGTCTGATATATTGGGGTAGAGAGCTCCAGAGGATGGGGGAAGCTCTGGAGAAGTCCTGGAGATGAGCATGGGAGGAGGAGACAAGGGAACTAGAGAGCAGGAGGTTGTGGGAGGAGCGGAGAGGACGGTTTGGATTAGACAATATTGGTGATATAATTTGGGGCAGAGTTATAAATGGTTTTATATGTTATTTATAATGTTTTGAATTTTATTTGTTGGGCAATGGGAAGCCAGTGGAGGGATTGGCAGAGAGGGGTGGAGGACACTGAATGGAGGCCAGTGGAGGGTTTGGCAGAGAGGGGTGGAGGACACTGAATGGAGGCCAGAGGAGGGATTGGCAGAGAGGGGTGGAGGACACTGATGGAGGCCAGTGGAGGGATTGGCAGAGAGGGGTGGAGGACACTGAGTGGGGGCCAGTGGAGGGATTGGCAGAGAGGGGTGGAGGACACTGAGTGGAGCCTAGTGGAGGGATTGGCAGAGAGGGGTGGCAGATATGGAATGGTAAGTAAATAAGGTGGATGAGTGTGGCAGCAGCTTTCATGATAGACTGAAGAGGGGATAGCCTGCGATGAGGTCGGCCAATGAGGAGGGAGTTACAATAGTCAAGGTGAGATGTAACAAGGGAGTGAATAAGTTGCTTAGTGGTTTCCGAGGTTAGGATGGGCGTGTCTTGGAGATGTTGCAGAGATGAAGAGGGATTGATGGCTGTAGTATTGATCTTGATGGAGAAGTCAGGGGAGGGGGCACGGGCTGGAGGGAATAGTATGAGCTCCGTTTTGGAAAGATTGAGTTTGAGGAAGTGGAGTGACATCCATGCCGATATGTCGCTTAGTAGGTTAGTAATGTGAGAGGAGACTGAAGGGGTGAGGTGAGGAGGAGACTGAAAAGGTGAGGTGAGGAGACTGAAGGAGTGAGGTGAGGAGGAGACTGAAAAGGTGAGGAATAGAAAGAAAGATTTGTGTGTCATCAGCATAGAGATGGTACTTTATCAAGTTACCAAGGGAGGAGGTGTAGATGGAGAAGAGAAGGGGTCCAAGGACAAAACCTTGAGGGACCCCTACAGAGAGAGGGAGTGAAGGGGAGGTGGCAGCTTTATAGGTAACACTGAATGAGTGCTGTGATAGGTAGGAGGAGAACCAGGAGAGAGCAGAGTCTCGGAGGCCAAGAGAGTGGAGTTTTTTGAGGAGGAGGGGATGGTCAACAGTATCAAAAGCCGCAGAGAGTTCAAGTAGTAAGAGTATGGAGTAGTGGCCATTGGTTGGGATGAGTATGGAGTAGTGGCCATTGGTTGGGATGAGTACGGAGTAGTGGCCATTGGTTGGATGAGTACGGAGTAGTGACCATTGGTTGGGATGAGTAGTAGTGCCATTGGTTTGGGATGAGTATGGAGTAGTGGCCATTGGTTGGGATGAGTACGGAGTAGTGGCCATTGGTTGGGGTGGATAGGAGTAGTGGCCAGTGGTTGGGGTGAGTATTGTGGCCATTGGTTGGGATGAGTACAGAGTAGTGGCCATTGGTTGGGATGAGTACGGAGTAGTGGCCATTGGCTGGGATTAGTATGGAGTAGTGACCATTGGTTGGGATGAGTACGGAGTAGTGGCCTTTGGTTGGGATGAGTACGGAGTAGTGGCCATTGGTTGGGATGAGTACGGAGTAGTGGCCATTGGTTGGGATGAGTACGGAGTAGTGGCCATTGGTTGGGATGAGTACGGAGTAGTGGCCATTGGTTGGGATGAGTACGGAGTAGTGGCATTGGTTGGGATGAGTACGGAGTAGTGGCCATTGGTTGGGATGATTACGGAGTAGTGGCCATTGGTTGGGGTGAGTACGGAGTAGTGACCATTGGTTGGGGTGAGTATGGAGTAGTGGACACTGGTTGGGATGAGTACGGAGTAATGGCCATCGGTTGGGGTGAGTACGGAGTAGTGACCATTGGATGGGGTGGGTACGGAGTAGTGACCATTGGTTGGGATGAGTACGGAGTAGTGACCATTGGTTGGGATGAGTACGGAGTAGTGACCATTGGTTGGGATGAGTACGGAGTAGTGACCATTGGTTGGGATGAGTACGGAGTAGTGACCATTGGATATGAGTATGGAGTAGTGGCCATTGGTTGGGATGAGTACGGAGTAGTGGCCATTGGTTGGGATGAGTACGGAGTAGTGGACCATTGGATGGGGTGAGTACAGAGTAGTGGCCATTGGTTGGGATGAGTACAGAGTAGTGGCCATTGGTTGGGATGAGTACGGAGTAGTGGCCATTGGTTGGGATGAGTACGGAGTAGTGGCCATTGGTTGGGATGAGTACGGGAGTAGTGGCCATTGGTTGGGATGAGTACGGAGTAGTGGCCATTGGTTGGGATGAGTACGGAGTAGTGCCATTGGTTGGGATGAGTACGGAGTAGTGGCCATTGGTTGGGATGAGTACGGAGTAGTGGCCATTGGTTGGGAGGAGTTCGGAGTAGTGGCCATTGGTTGGGATGAGTACGGAGTAGTGGCCATTGGTTGGGATGAGTACGGAGAGTAGTGGCCATTGGTTGGGAGGAGTACGGACGGAGTAGTGGCCATTGGTTGGGATGAGTACGGAGTAGTGGCCATTGGTTGGGATGAGTACGGAGTAGTGGCCATTGGTTGGGATGAGTACGGAGTAGTGGCCATTGGTTGGGATGAGTACGGAGTAGTGGCCATTGGTTTTAGCAGCCATTTAGTAGCAGTTAGTATTAATGAGGTTTAGTAGGGCGGTGTCAGTGGAGTGTAGTGAGTGAAAGCCAGACTGTGAAGGGTGAAGAAGGTTGTTGTCGGTGAGGGAGGAGCTCAGACGATTGTAGACTAAGCGGTCTAGGAGTTTAGAGGTGAATGGGAGCAGGAGATGGGTCTTATGTTGTTCAGGTTGGTGGGGTCCAGGGAGGGCTGTTAAGTATAGGAGTGGGGAAGGCACCGTTAGAGAGGGAGAGATTGAAGATGTGAGTGAGAGAGCGTAGAACAGAAGAGGGTGACCGTAGTAGTTGTGAGGGGACAGAATCCAGGGGGCAGGTGGTGAGACGGGCTTCTGAGAAAACCTTAGTGACCTCTTCGGTAGTAGAAGGTCAGAAGAGGAAAGTGTTGGGGAGGTTTAGTATAAGGTATGCTAAGTGGGATGGATGTCTGTGCAGTGGAGATGTCCCTACGGATTGCATCAATCTTGTTTTTCAAATGATTTGCAATCTCGTAAGCAGTGAGTGAGGTGCTGGGTGTGGGTGGAGGTGAGTGAGGTGCTGGGTGTGGGGGTGGAGGTGAGTGAGGTGCTGGGTGGAGGTGGAGAAAGTAGAGAGTGAGAGTGAGAAGTAGAGAAGAGACGAGGAGGACTGGATGACAAGCTATTGATGAGAGTGACAAAGTAGGCTTGTCTGGCAGCATGGAGGGAGGAATTGTATGTGAAGAAAGCAGATAGCTCTGACCCTCAACATAACATCTCCCCAGGGTTGGACTGACCATTTGGAAACTCGGGCACTGCCCGAGGGCCCGGGGTCAGTAGGGGGCCCCATGAGATGCCCCTGGTACCTTTTTCATAGGATTTTTTGAGTTTTGGCAAGGACACAGGGGCCCCATGATCCCCTATTGCCCGGGGGACCCATGAGTTGTCAGTCCGCCCCTGCATCTCCCCATCACCCCAACACCTAACCCAAAACCACAACTCTGACCCTCAACATGACCTCTCCCCATCACCCAGCAGCACCAATCCCATAACTCATTCTAAACCCATCACCCGGGCACCTAATAATTCTAATCTCATCCTAACCCCCCCCTAAACAAAAAACAATACCTAACCCTCAACATGAACTCTCCCCATCACCCAACACCTAACCCAACCCACAGCGCTGACTTCAACTGAACGCCTAACCAATACCCAACACCTAACCCAACCCACAGCGCTGGCTTCAACTGAATGCTTAACCAATACCCAACACCTACCCAACCCACAACGCTGACTTCAACTGAACGCTTAACCAATACCCAACACCTAACCCAACCCACAGCGCTGACTTCAACTGAACGCCTAACCAATACCCAACACCTAACCCAACACACAGCGCTGGCTTCAACTGAATGCTTAACCAATACCCAACACCTAACACAACCCACAACGCTGACTTCAACTGAACGCTTAACCAATACCCAACACCTAACCCAACACACAGCGCTGACTTCAACTGAACGCCTAACCAATACCCAACACCTAACACAACCCACAGCGCTGACTTCAACTGAAGGCTTAACCAATACCCAACACCTAACACAACCCACAGTGCTGACTTCAACTGAACGCCTAACCAATACCCAACACCTAACCCAACCCACAACGCTGACTTCAACCGAACGCCTAACCAATACCCAACACCTAACCCAACCCACAACGCTGACTTCAACTGAACGCCTAACCAATACCCAACACCTAACCCAACCCACAACGCTGACTTCAACTGAATGCTTAACCAATACCCAACACCTAACACAACCCACAACGCTGACTTCAACTGAACGCCTAACCAATACCCAACACCTAACCCAACCCACAACGCTGACTTCAACTGAACGCCTAACCAATACCCAACACCTAACCCAACCCACAACGCTGACTTCAACTGAACGCCTAACCAATACCCAACACCTAACCCAACCCACAACGCTGACTTCAACTGAACGCCTAACCAATACCCAACACCTAACCCAACCCACAACGCTGACTTCAACTGAACGCCTAACCAATACCCAACACCTAACCCAACCCACAAAGCTCACTTCAACTGAACGCTTAACCAATACCCAACACCTAACCCAACCCACAACGCTGAATTCAACTGAACGCCTAACCAATACCCAACGCCTAACCCAACCCACAACGCTGACTTCAACTGAACGCCTAACCAATACCCAACGCCTAACCCAACCCACAACGCTGACTTCAACTGAACGCCTAACCAATACCCAACGCCTAACCCAACCCACAGCGCTGACTTCAACTGAACGCCTAACCAATACCCAACACCTAACCCAACCCACAACGCTGACTTCAACTGAATGCTTAACCAATACCCAACACCTAACCCAACCCACAGCGCTGACTTCAACTGAATGCTTAACCAATACCCAACACCTAACCCAACCCACAACGCTGACTTCAACTGAACGCCTAACCAATACCCAACACCTAACCCAACCCACAACGCTGACTTCAACTGAAGAGTCGCGGTTTAGACTTAGGTGCTAGTTGAGGGTTAAGTTGTGGGCCCCGTTCACCGCCAAGTCTGATGTGTGCTGCAGACTTTCTCCGTGTATTATCAATTAGGATGGAGGATGGGAAGTTGTCACACCAATCGAACTGTCTGGATGTGAGCCCAGAATGAAGGTGCGATGTGTGTCCTCTGCCCTCCTGACACCCTCCAGCCTGACACCATCCCCCTCCCTCCTCTTCATAAAAAGTTAGCACTGCAATGCTGATAAGAGACACAACGGAGACGGATCTGCAGAAAGGTGAACCATCCTCCGCTCTGTACTGCTGCCCCTACCCTCCATACCCCCTCACCTGTCCTTCTACCCCACTCCCCCCCACCTGTCAATCCACCCCACTCGCCCTCACCTGTCCATCCACCCCACCCCCCTCACCTGTCCATCCACCCCACTCCCCCTCACCTGTCAATCCACCCCACTCCCCCTCACCTGTCCATCCACCCCACTCCCCCTCACCTGTCCATCCACCCCACCCCCCTCACCTGTCCATCCACCCCACTCCCCCTCACCTGTCCATCCACCCCACCCCCCCCTCACCTGTCCATCCACCCCCTCACCTGACCATCCACCCCACTCCCCCTCACCTGTCCATCCACCCCACTCTCCCTCACCTGTCCATCCACCCCACCCCCCTCACCTGACCATCCACCCCACTCCCCCTCACCTGTCCATCTACCCCCTCTCACC